CACCGCGAAATAATCTATCTCTGTTTCTCCTTTCACACCACGTTACCTATCGATAATACAATTATAGCTATCGGCACTGTACCTTACGGCTGGAAGTACACACGTGAGAACGAGCCGCGTCCCGACAAGAGCTGGTTAATCCCTTTTTTTCTTGCTCTCTCGGGGGGCTCTAATTCTCTCCTTCTCTCTCCTTCTATCTTCCCCTGACTCCGCTACAGGTGTCACCTCTGGGCCCTCGTGGCCGTGTCGCACCCTGGACCCGGCTGCTGGGCAGGCGGTTGAGCTCGGCGTGGCCCGCTGACTCGATGGCGTGCTCTCGTTCGGCCTCTGCTGCAGGTCTCAGTGACGGGAAGCGGTGTGGCAAGGCAGCAGGTGGTACGGCAGCTTGGCAGTCGGTGTCATGGCCTGGGTCGATCTCCGGACGCTCTTATCCCTGACAGCAGTTTACTCCCCCTCTTTCTCTTTCTCTCACACCCCGATAACTCGCAAATTTCTCCGTACACACACACACTGTGCAAAAACTCGATATTTTTCTAACGTACCTCTCGGCGTAGTGGCCCGCTATCGAATGGCTCAAGCGCGTGCGTGGCAACATGCTCCCTGTATCTATATCTCTCTCTCGGCTCTGCCGCTGCAGCGCTCACAGCATATACGTGGGCGTGCATTCTTTCATATCTATATCTGTCCGTCGCTGCCGTGCCCTCGTCTCGTCCAACCACGCATTTTTCCTCGAAGCCACATATATATCAATAAACAAGAGAAGAACACGCGTGCATGACTATAAATCTATATACATTTCTAACTGGTCGACTCGCATGGAGTCATCGGTGGGACGGGTGAAAAGCAACTTCGTTACTTTTACCACTTCCCTTAGTATACGTACCTAATTTGGATCATCGTTATTGCCACAATGATCATAACAATTTTCGTTCTCCCTAATTCTTCTTTCAAAGTTATTGTCATAAACATCATCTTCACCATAACCGTAGTAATGACGGTTACTATACTGACAACCTTTATAATAATGATAATAACGTGGACAATGTTAGGATTCTAAATAAATTTGTAAGATAACAAAATACTATTTTGTAAATTTCTAGTTGGTGGAATCTACACAGTTATAAGATCTAAGGCCTACAGTTCGACAGAAGAAATGGGTGATCATTACTGTTTGATAGGTCCTTACTCAGAGGTGTGTGCAAAAACCGAAGTTGAAGAAGCAGATTTTCATGAAAAAAGTCCTTTATTTGATTCTGTCAGACTATTACAAGATCAAGGATTTAAGGTAGATACAGTTTATTGTTATTAATAACTTATTAAGATTTTCTTTTGAATGTTAATTAAATTTTTTATTTTAAGTTATTAGAGTAAGAGTTATTTTATCGAACATGCACAACAACAACATAATACGCTTTTGCTTTTATACTTTTATTTGTTTTTGTTTTTTTACAAACTACCATTTGGAACAACCAAACAAAATAATATTATGTAATCTTCAGAAATATGTTTTAAATTAACTTAAATATTTCATATATCTTTAAAGTGCATCTGTGTGCACATGCGTAAGCAGGTTTTAAAGTAATATAATCATGCAAAAAATAGATCACAAGGTTTATCGACTCTATTAATATTTTTTTTAAATATAGAACAGTGATATTGTCATCACGGATCGTACTATATATATAGTGTTGAGTATGGTCAACCATAAATTTCCGAAATACAAAAAACCATGAGTTTCCAGAGTAAGTTTTATGCTTTTTAAGAATTATGTGGCAACTTTTTTAATGCTATGTTGGTCCTATAATATAACTTTACTTCAATTTATATCATTTTGATTTTAATTTATTGGTAACTACGAAGTTTCAGGTGCACTGAATTTCTCAGTTATTAATATTGTTGAATTAAATATAAAGCTTAAATTTTCGTGAATTAGTATGACAATACGGATACATGCATAAATTTAAATCATTCTTACTCATAATACAATAACAGAAACCATGGAAGTATCGTGCTATTGAAGACTCTCAATTTTCACCTTACATAAGTTTTTCTTTCTTTGATTTTTCAACGAGATATTTAACGATGAGAAATATCATAAAAATTATATTAAATTGTAAATGTATATGCGTGCATTAAAACAACATGCATCTGGAAATGTATGAAATAACCTCAAGATTTCAGTGGAAGGTTTGTTTGCATGTTCATTTTATTAAACAGATTGAAGGTCTTTAGATAAAAAGTTATTTGACGTATTTTTAAAATATTTCTGTCCAACGTAATTTAGAATAAAATCTATCAAAAAGAAGGTTTAAATTTATGGAAACATGTTTCTTTCGTCAGAAAGCCTTTCATAACGGTGCAGTATCACCATCGTAAATTTCCGTTAATTTAAGATTAATAAAATATATAAGAGTAAAAATACCGTTAGTGCTCAATATTACATCTTGTTTATCATGCATGAGCGTTAAAATTTGCGGAAACTTGGTTATTGAGAAAATATGTTATTTCATTTTTAACCAAGATTAACCCATGTCTTTGACTTCCAACATTTATTATCTTCTTTTTTCGCGAAGCAACCTTCGACTTCTAAGATTTCGTCATATAGCCCAAAAAAGCTAGAACTTGTCGTACTGAATTAAAAATCCCCCATAGGACCGATTTAAAAATTTTATGTTTAAAATAATAAGTTTTTTGTTTATTCAGATAAGTACCATGCCTCGATATTTTAACAGTAGATTCGTTAAGCCTTACGGAGGATAACGAAATATGGAAAAGTATAGTTTTTATGTGTTGTTAAAGTATTTGTACTATTTCTACATTGTTTTTAGACTCAATTAATTTTTGTTATGCAAACAAGGGTGCCACTTTAGCAAAGTAGTATAACATAGAACAAAATATAAACACCTCCTTTTGATACCAATATGAGAGTAAGTATACTTCTCATCTGTCGATGTATAAATTATTTTTTTGCTTTATTTAGCTTTTTGAGAGAAAAAATTTCATTTTTAAGTCCATTCTCTTACCCTCCCGTACTTGCAGTACCTGCCGCATTAGAAATCGTTTATAGTGTCCTCACGTTTTTTACGAAAACAAAGAGCATATGGGTAACTTTTTTATAAACCGGACAGATTAAAGCAAAATCTGACTGACAAATTTGATACTAGGCTGAAAATTTTTTTATGGATTCTATATCTAAAAAATATACCTATTCGAGGATTTTTTTTTTTTAGGTAGAGGGGACTCAAAATTTCAGAGGTTTGTGATGTTTGCCTTGGAGACTCATTTTCAAACACTCCAGTTCTTCGTAAGCTACAGTAAATTTTTTTTTTCATTTTGAAGAACATAAAAAAAATTTTAAGAAAAAAATATTTGCAACAAAATTTATAAACAATTTCATATTGTTATTAACAATTCCAATGTTTAAATTGAGTTTAAACTATGGTTCCTAAAATTTAACGTTTATTTAATACAGCTATCGTGTTCTACGTCAAATTTTCTGTAAAAAAATTGTTTTCAATTGATGGAAAAACTATTATTGCTAAAAGAGATACATTGATTTATGTAGTGTGGCACGTCGTATTGGTGTGCGGGCACCTCTGTACGCCTCTATTTCTAACCCTTAATTGTTTTTCTCAATAACATCAATGGTTATCAAAATAATAACATGTTAGAAAAACATATTAATTTTTATTTTTAACATAACTTATAATGAACTTAGTGTCTATTTAAAGATTTTTGCAAGTGTTGTTTTATCATTGAATGGAAATATTTTTGCTTCTAGACTCTAAAGAGAGATTGGTATCATGCAATGAAATTGTATAATGCCTTTTATTGTGACAGCTTTTTTAAATCGTTCTGATAATACTTATTCTTTCTAATGATTCTCAACATTAGTTGAATAACGACACGTTATGGTTTGCAAAGCCTCCCAATGTTGCACTAGTGAACAATTCGTGGGGTGTTCAAATAGGATTAATTATTCTTTGAAAACTAGCTTTGACAGCAAGTTGTTTTAACGTTCTACCTGTTCCATCGCATAGTTCCTTGCCATGAGGCGTAAAGAAAAAATTCCATTTGGCTGATATTCCAAAATCTTCTACATGATGAGTAAGATTAATAAAATTTTTCTTGTTTTTCTATTGAGCGCTTGCACCGTACGAAAAAAATATTTATTCATGAACACCTTTCAAATTCGTCTTAATAAATTCTGCAAGTTGTTTATAAACAGCAACTGTATTATGATGCAAGCATTCAGAAATGCAAACAAAACTTTTGACATTAAATTCATCTTTTTCGTCTTTATAGTAAATTGAGAATGGATGTACAGTTGCTTGATCATTATTCCAGTGCACACCTTGTATAGAGTTTTGGAAAACAAATACATAGTTTTTGTTAAAATTACATACATCAATGAATTCATTTTTCATTAGTTTTTTTTCTTCAAGTCGAAGGATTCAATTTGTTTTTTGACTAAAAAAGAATGGATCAGCAATTTTTCCAAGCCATTGCTTAAAAGTTATAAAAATTCATCCACACTAGATATCAAAGTTTGCTGTAAAGTAATCATGCAAAAAATAGATCACAAGGTTTATCGACTCTATTAATATTTTTTTTAAATATAGAACAGTGATATTGTCATCACGGATCGTACTATATATATAGTGTTGAGTATGGTCAACCATAAATTTCCGAAATACAAAAAACCATGAGTTTCCAGAGTAAGTTTTATGCTTTTTAAGAATTATGTGGCAACTTTTTTAATGCTATGTTGGTCCTATAATATAACTTTACTTCAATTTATATCATTTTGATTTTAATTTATTGGTAACTACGAAGTTTCAGGTGCACTGAATTTCTCAGTTATTAATATTGTTGAATTAAATATAAAGCTTAAATTTTCGTGAATTAGTATGACAATACGGATACATGCATAAATTTAAATCATTCTTACTCATAATACAATAACAGAAACCATGGAAGTATCGTGCTATTGAAGACTCTCAATTTTCACCTTACATAAGTTTTTCTTTCTTTGATTTTTCAACGAGATATTTAACGATGAGAAATATCATAAAAATTATATTAAATTGTAAATGTATATGCGTGCATTAAAACAACATGCATCTGGAAATGTATGAAATAACCTCAAGATTTCAGTGGAAGGTTTGTTTGCATGTTCATTTTATTAAACAGATTGAAGGTCTTTAGATAAAAAGTTATTTGACGTATTTTTAAAATATTTCTGTCCAACGTAATTTAGAATAAAATCTATCAAAAAGAAGGTTTAAATTTATGGAAACATGTTTCTTTCGTCAGAAAGCCTTTCATAACGGTGCAGTATCACCATCGTAAATTTCCGTTAATTTAAGATTAATAAAATATATAAGAGTAAAAATACCGTTAGTGCTCAATATTACATCTTGTTTATCATGCATGAGCGTTAAAATTTGCGGAAACTTGGTTATTGAGAAAATATGTTATTTCATTTTTAACCAAGATTAACCCATGTCTTTGACTTCCAACATTTATTATCTTCTTTTTTCGCGAAGCAACCTTCGACTTCTAAGATTTCGTCATATAGCCCAAAAAAGCTAGAACTTGTCGTACTGAATTAAAAATCCCCCATAGGACCGATTTAAAAATTTTATGTTTAAAATAATAAGTTTTTTGTTTATTCAGATAAGTACCATGCCTCGATATTTTAACAGTAGATTCGTTAAGCCTTACGGAGGATAACGAAATATGGAAAAGTATAGTTTTTATGTGTTGTTAAAGTATTTGTACTATTTCTACATTGTTTTTAGACTCAATTAATTTTTGTTATGCAAACAAGGGTGCCACTTTAGCAAAGTAGTATAACATAGAACAAAATATAAACACCTCCTTTTGATACCAATATGAGAGTAAGTATACTTCTCATCTGTCGATGTATAAATTATTTTTNTTTTTATTCTCCTATTCACACTATAAACTCAACTGGTTATCGACTTCTATTACCCCGTCACCAAACAAGCATTGTCGTCGCTGTATCAATGTATATAAGCCTATATCTATATATATGCATGCCTGCGTACACATATGTATATATGCATGTACCTCTACATGTATATGCCCCGACCCATGTATGCTACGCGAGCACACGCTTCCTAAAATTTTAAAATGTGTCGCGACAAAGAAAACACGCTATATCTATACTACGTCCATACATCCACATACCAATACACGCATACGCACCAAACCATATATACAACGCGAGCACGCCCATAACTTAAAATCTCAAGGTATGTTACAACAAAGGAAACGTGCAATATCTAAATGCTCTCACCACCATGCGCCGCGTTCTTGAACCTACACCTAACCCTGGCTGTGCTCGTCGCGACTCCCCACAAGGGATGCCATTTTTATTACACTGTACTCCTGCCGATTTTTGTCGGCAGCCCGGAAGTACAGGTCGCAACTCTTATGTACGTCTGCCCCTCTCCTAGTCCCGATTATCGTTCTAAACCAAAAGGAGGTTCCCGACGAGCTTTCCCCCCCAGCCCGGTAGGTGAGGGAAATAATGGATTAACAGCCAGACTCGGTTACCATATACAGTTATACTTTCACATATATTTGCTCGTCCTCATGTACAGAAGTGTCGTGCTACAGCAGCATCGCCACGCTCGACATGCTGCGAGCGCTGGCGTCTATATACACCGATACAGCTCCTTCCTCAGTCCTGTCGTATACCCCTGTCCTCCACCTCGGTATATTCTCGCGACCAAGTAGCCAGCTCGCTTCGTGCCCGTGTTCGAGACACGCTTACGGCCCGTTCCTTGTTATGCTCGACCCTAACCCACTGTTCTCATGCGGGTACGCCCTATCGCGTCCTATCTATATATCTCTCTCTTTACACCCACACCCACGCGCCCATACACTTATTCCCCCGATAGCCAACTGTTTGCCTCTGTCTCTCTCACACACTCACGTTCGACGACCGCACGAATAACACTCTCCCATAACATACACCGTGAAATAGTCTATCTCTGTTTCTCCTTTCACACCACGTTACCTATCGATAATACAATTATAGCTATCGGCACTGTACCTTACGGCTGGAAGTACACACGTGAGAACGAGCCGCGTCCCGACAAGAGCTGGTTAATCCCTTTTTTTCTTGCTCTCTCGGGGGGCTCTAATTCTCTCCTTCTCTCTCCTTCTATCTTCCCCTGACTCCGCTACAGGTGTCACCTCTGGGCCCTCGTGGCCGTGTCGCACCCTGGACCCGGCTGCTGGGCAGGCGGTTGAGCTCGGCGTGGCCCGCTGACTCGATGGCGTGCTCTCGTTCGGCCTCTGCTGCAGGTCTCAGTGACGGGAAGCGGTGTGGCAAGGCAGCAGGTGGTACGGCAGCTTGGCAGTCGGTGTCATGGCCTGGGTCGATCTCCGGACGCTCTTATCCCTGACAGCAGTTTACTCCCCCTCTTTCTCTTTCTCTCACACCCCGATAACTCGCAAATTTCTCCGTACACACACACACTGTGCAAAAACTCGATATTTTTCTAACGTACCTCTCGGCGTAGTGGCCCGCTATCGAATGGCTCAAGCGCGTGCGTGGCAACATGCTCCCTGTATCTATATCTCTCTCTCGGCTCTGCCGCTGCAGCGCTCACAGCATATACGTGGGCGTGCATTCTTTCATATCTATATCTGTCCGTCGCTGCCGTGCCCTCGTCTCGTCCAACCACGCATTTTTCCTCGAAGCCACATATATATCAATAAACAAGAGAAGAACACGCGTGCATGACTATAAATCTATATACATTTCTAACTGGTCGACTCGCATGGAGTCATCGGTGGGACGGGTGAAAAGCAACTTCGTTACTTTTACCACTTCCCTTAGTATACGTACCTAATTTGGATCATCGTTATTGCCACAATGATCATAACAATTTTCGTTCTCCCTAATTCTTCTTTCAAAGTTATTGTCATAAACATCATCTTCACCATAACCGTAGTAATGACGGTTACTATACTGACAACCTTTATAATAATGATAATAACGTGGACAATGTTAGGATTCTAAATAAATTTGTAAGATAACAAAATACTATTTTGTAAATTTCTAGTTGGTGGAATCTACACAGTTATAAGATCTAAGGCCTACAGTTCGACAGAAGAAATGGGTGATCATTACTGTTTGATAGGTCCTTACTCAGAGGTGTGTGCAAAAACCGAAGTTGAAGAAGCAGATTTTCATGAAAAAAGTCCTTTATTTGATTCTGTCAGACTATTACAAGATCAAGGATTTAAGGTAGATACAGTTTATTGTTATTAATAACTTATTAAGATTTTCTTTTGAATGTTAATTAAATTTTTTATTTTAAGTTATTAGAGTAAGAGTTATTTTATCGAACATGCACAACAACAACATAATACGCTTTTGCTTTTATACTTTTATTTGTTTTTGTTTTTTTACAAACTACCATTTGGAACAACCAAACAAAATAATATTATGTAATCTTCAGAAATATGTTTTAAATTAACTTAAATATTTCATATATCTTTAAAGTGCATCTGTGTGCACATGCGTAAGCAGGTTTTAAAGTAATATAATCATGCAAAAAATAGATCACAAGGTTTATCGACTCTATTAATATTTTTTTTAAATATAGAACAGTGATATTGTCATCACGGATCGTACTATATATATAGTGTTGAGTATGGTCAACCATAAATTTCCGAAATACAAAAAACCATGAGTTTCCAGAGTAAGTTTTATGCTTTTTAAGAATTATGTGGCAACTTTTTTAATGCTATGTTGGTCCTATAATATAACTTTACTTCAATTTATATCATTTTGATTTTAATTTATTGGTAACTACGAAGTTTCAGGTGCACTGAATTTCTCAGTTATTAATATTGTTGAATTAAATATAAAGCTTAAATTTTCGTGAATTAGTATGACAATACGGATACATGCATAAATTTAAATCATTCTTACTCATAATACAATAACAGAAACCATGGAAGTATCGTGCTATTGAAGACTCTCAATTTTCACCTTACATAAGTTTTTCTTTCTTTGATTTTTCAACGAGATATTTAACGATGAGAAATATCATAAAAATTATATTAAATTGTAAATGTATATGCGTGCATTAAAACAACATGCATCTGGAAATGTATGAAATAACCTCAAGATTTCAGTGGAAGGTTTGTTTGCATGTTCATTTTATTAAACAGATTGAAGGTCTTTAGATAAAAAGTTATTTGACGTATTTTTAAAATATTTCTGTCCAACGTAATTTAGAATAAAATCTATCAAAAAGAAGGTTTAAATTTATGGAAACATGTTTCTTTCGTCAGAAAGCCTTTCATAACGGTGCAGTATCACCATCGTAAATTTCCGTTAATTTAAGATTAATAAAATATATAAGAGTAAAAATACCGTTAGTGCTCAATATTACATCTTGTTTATCATGCATGAGCGTTAAAATTTGCGGAAACTTGGTTATTGAGAAAATATGTTATTTCATTTTTAACCAAGATTAACCCATGTCTTTGACTTCCAACATTTATTATCTTCTTTTTTCGCGAAGCAACCTTCGACTTCTAAGATTTCGTCATATAGCCCAAAAAAGCTAGAACTTGTCGTACTGAATTAAAAATCCCCCATAGGACCGATTTAAAAATTTTATGTTTAAAATAATAAGTTTTTTGTTTATTCAGATAAGTACCATGCCTCGATATTTTAACAGTAGATTCGTTAAGCCTTACGGAGGATAACGAAATATGGAAAAGTATAGTTTTTATGTGTTGTTAAAGTATTTGTACTATTTCTACATTGTTTTTAGACTCAATTAATTTTTGTTATGCAAACAAGGGTGCCACTTTAGCAAAGTAGTATAACATAGAACAAAATATAAACACCTCCTTTTGATACCAATATGAGAGTAAGTATACTTCTCATCTGTCGATGTATAAATTATTTTTTTGCTTTATTTAGCTTTTTGAGAGAAAAAATTTCATTTTTAAGTCCATTCTCTTACCCTCCCGTACTTGCAGTACCTGCCGCATTAGAAATCGTTTATAGTGTCCTCACGTTTTTTACGAAAACAAAGAGCATATGGGTAACTTTTTTATAAACCGGACAGATTAAAGCAAAATCTGACTGACAAATTTGATACTAGGCTGAAAATTTTTTTATGGATTCTATATCTAAAAAATATACCTATTCGAGGATTTTTTTTTTTTAGGTAGAGGGGACTCAAAATTTCAGAGGTTTGTGATGTTTGCCTTGGAGACTCATTTTCAAACACTCCAGTTCTTCGTAAGCTACAGTAAATTTTTTTTTTCATTTTGAAGAACATAAAAAAAATTTTAAGAAAAAAATATTTGCAACAAAATTTATAAACAATTTCATATTGTTATTAACAATTCCAATGTTTAAATTGAGTTTAAACTATGGTTCCTAAAATTTAACGTTTATTTAATACAGCTATCGTGTTCTACGTCAAATTTTCTGTAAAAAAATTGTTTTCAATTGATGGAAAAACTATTATTGCTAAAAGAGATACATTGATTTATGTAGTGTGGCACGTCGTATTGGTGTGCGGGCACCTCTGTACGCCTCTATTTCTAACCCTTAATTGTTTTTCTCAATAACATCAATGGTTATCAAAATAATAACATGTTAGAAAAACATATTAATTTTTATTTTTAACATAACTTATAATGAACTTAGTGTCTATTTAAAGATTTTTGCAAGTGTTGTTTTATCATTGAATGGAAATATTTTTGCTTCTAGACTCTAAAGAGAGATTGGTATCATGCAATGAAATTGTATAATGCCTTTTATTGTGACAGCTTTTTTAAATCGTTCTGATAATACTTATTCTTTCTAATGATTCTCAACATTAGTTGAATAACGACACGTTATGGTTTGCAAAGCCTCCCAATGTTGCACTAGTGAACAATTCGTGGGGTGTTCAAATAGGATTAATTATTCTTTGAAAACTAGCTTTGACAGCAAGTTGTTTTAACGTTCTACCTGTTCCATCGCATAGTTCCTTGCCATGAGGCGTAAAGAAAAAATTCCATTTGGCTGATATTCCAAAATCTTCTACATGATGAGTAAGATTAATAAAATTTTTCTTGTTTTTCTATTGAGCGCTTGCACCGTACGAAAAAAATATTTATTCATGAACACCTTTCAAATTCGTCTTAATAAATTCTGCAAGTTGTTTATAAACAGCAACTGTATTATGATGCAAGCATTCAGAAATGCAAACAAAACTTTTGACATTAAATTCATCTTTTTCGTCTTTATAGTAAATTGAGAATGGATGTACAGTTGCTTGATCATTATTCCAGTGCACACCTTGTATAGAGTTTTGGAAAACAAATACATAGTTTTTGTTAAAATTACATACATCAATGAATTCATTTTTCATTAGTTTTTTTTCTTCAAGTCGAAGGATTCAATTTGTTTTTTGACTAAAAAAGAATGGATCAGCAATTTTTCCAAGCCATTGCTTAAAAGTTATAAAAATTCATCCACACTAGATATCAAAGTTTGCTGTAAAGTTATATCTATTATCACCCACTGTTTGTATTGCACATTTTCGGTGAATTTGTTATCGAAATTTTGTCGTACTTTTTCAATAATATTATGTACATCGGAGCATGCATCGCATAATTCCAAAAAAACAATTTCATGTATCAGACACACACACATACCGAATGAGTGCCTCTGGCTCGTGCCAGTACAGAATGTTTTGGTGTGTATTAGCAAACTTTGAAAAACTACACTTCATTGTCGGATACTCTTTTTTAAATAAATCATACAATTCTTTTTAATTATTCAAAATCAGCCGTTTTTGCATCTGTATTTTGTGACCATCCACTATCATGGAGACGAAATCTTTATTACTGGCCATAATTTGTGTGTGTTCATCAGATTGATAGAAGTTTACTATACTGTTAATAACATTCACTCCTAAAGATTGATGGCTTTTGGGACTTGGATTGCCTAATATTCCTTTATCTTTAGCAATATTTTTTGCCATAGTTATCATATGTCGAGTAGCTGTGGGAAAGTTTACCTGGATTTTCTGATCAGACGTTTGATACCAGTGTCTGAAAATAGTCAAAATTTTTACTTTATGACATCAGTCTGTACTTTCTTGTAAGGTTCTAAAGATTGCGACATCATCATGAACTTCAACAACACTATCTAAATCATCGATATTTGCATGAAAAACTTTCTTTTTGATTGTCTAAGTAATTTTTCAACTTTCATCTTAGAATAACGTTTTTGTTTTAATCGGCGCTTTTTAATAGGTGATACATCTCAAGAAACGCAATTCTTTATTCAAACGATCAGCACTGTCATTTAATAACTTTTAGTTTCCACCTGAATATCCCGAAAATCCATCTTCTGTTCTATTTTTTGGTATCTTTTCCTGGGCTAACGCGAACACAAGAATTCTGCTCGTTCACTCACAGAATTCATGTGGCTCGCGATTTTAGCTCTGTTTTCTCGTGGGTCGTGTTGACTGGGAAACGGACTTTGGGTCTTGGCTGGCTGGGTGTGATCGGTGGCTGCAAGGGTTACTAGGAGACCGGGGCTGGAGCCGACATAAAATATCTGAAATCCCAAGAAACCAGAAAGTTGTAAGCACAAGGATGAGTACGGCTTGTTTATACAGGCAGTGGTGGCAGTGTGCGCAAGGTGCGTGAGACAGTGAAGATAACTTTTACGGATCCCTCACTTCAGATTAGTGGCTCTTGGGGCTGGAATTTAGTGGCTACTCTACACTTTGTTAGAGGAAATTTGGGTTGTGAGGTGCACTTCATGCCGTACTCAAACATGGCGGGTAGTGGCTCCGGGTTCGTGGTGAGTGGCTCCTGGGATCGCGAGTAGTGGCTTCTTGGGGGCATTTAAGTGGCTTGTCAAAAGTGAGCCTGTAGAATTTATTGGTTATAAGTGAAAAAATCGACAGCTGTGCAGACTACTTTCGGCTTCGGCGCCAGGGTACGGTGGTCGTACCAAAGAGGCCAGAGCTGCACGGCTGTATACCCGTAGTGTTGCACTCGGGATAGTTGTGAGCGTGTGCCAAGCTGGCTGGATACGACATTACACATGATAACAGTGCTGTAGTGGGCAGCTTCCTTGTAAACCTTGAATCAGCTTCCTGTTGAAAAAGGAACACACTTTGAGATACAGATGTACTATTTAAAGTATTATTTGCTTAATCTACATCACAACAGTTAGGATCTATTGCAGATTGAATGTCAGCTATTTTTTTG